TATATGTATATGTATATGTATATGTATATGTATATGTATATGTATATGTATATGTATATGTATATGTATATGTATATGTATATGTATATGTATGTTTGTTTTCTTAAGTTTTCGTGGGTACTTACATGTATGGTATTCAGCTTTGTTCGGGTATTTTCCCACATCATTATAGTTGTGCTATAAAAATTTAAATTTAAAACTGAAACGGCTGTGAAAGTCTGACTCACAGACGAACACCATACAGAAGCCTGATGATGGCAGATGAGATTCTGCCGAAACGTTGCTACAACTTTAAAAGCACAACTACAATGACGTGGGAAAATACCCGAACAAAGCTGAATACCATACATGTAAGTACTTGTGAAAACTTAAGAAAAAACACACACACACGTATGTATGTATGTAGATTTTCATGGGTACAGGTATGCAGGTCTTGGTGTGTTCAGGTCTTTTCCCGTGTAAGATTAAGAGTATCTTGGTGACGTTTTGGCGAGGTCCCACTCGCCATCTTCAGGCTGGTGCTTTCGGCTTCGTGCTTTGCTCACACAAGCACAGTGGGTAGCACAGTGTTACACTGGTTCACTTCCTTTTCCTGAGATCAATTCCAGTCAGTAGTGATTGGAAAGATTCCACCTTCAATCCCTCTTTTATGGATGCCTCAGAGTTTGGTGCTCTTCTCTATCTTATTTAACATCTAATGAAATTGAGCTCATTGGTCAGATGGGATTAAATATCATTGGTATGCTGATAAATTCTATGGAATAATATTCAATTGTACAACTCTGCCCCCTGGTGAATGCTGTGGGAGTCCTCTCCCTGGAGGCTGTGAGAGACTGAACAGGGACAGCAGGCTCCAACAGGACCCTGGCAAGACTTAGTGGCTTTGGGTTTGGGGGCCCTTTAGAATCATGCTTTCTGCTCTCAAGGAGCAGGTAATAATCATGGTTAGCAGGATCTTTGCACAATTTTGTACTGTGCAACAGGTGCACCTTTTCTTGGACCAAGAGCCCTACTCATGGTCACTCATGCCCTGGTCACTTCCTGGTTAGACTATCACAATGCACTTTACATGGGGTTATCCATGAGGAATGTGTGAAAACTTCAGTTATGTGTGTTTTAGATTAAATACCCTGTTTCTCCAACAATATGGCCTCCCCCAATAGGAAGTCCCAGCATGTTTTATAGGCATGAAATGAAATTAAGCCCCTCCCCCCAAATTAAGGCCTATATTAAAACATGCGAAATGGGGGGGAATGGGGGGGGGGGCTTGCCGTTAGGAAGTACTTTTGTTGCACACCCGGATATGATGCT